AGATTCGCAGCCACTGTATCCTGTCTCCAGCTCTGCCGTACAGCGTCCGACACGGCTGTGCGTGGAGCGCCATGGAGTGCTGAGCTCCTGTGCTCCTGTTTTGGGTGGCCCCTGGTGGGTGCTGCAGCTGGAGTAGCTCTTCCGTGGGACATGTGGAAGAGTTGCAGTCAAATAATAGTAAAGGCTGATGTGTCTAGAAAGGAAGATAAACTTTGCGCATTATTTGCTGGTTGCTTTCTAGTTCCTCTTTCTTTATCTGGATTAAATTCCAATCCTCCCCTTAGGAAAAAGTTCTTGTGAATTCAAACCCCAGACAGTAACTGGGTATCTTATGGCTCTCTAGATCCATAGCAACTTGCTATGGAGTTTTATTGAAGAATGTTTTGTTCTTTACCTTAAAACTTGTATTTTCTTTCTCTCTAAGCAAGTAGTAAATGGAAGAGACATGTTTGCTGCTGTCACTGGAACTAGTTTTTGGTAATTATGTATTATTATTTGCTTTTTAAAAAAAAGTCTTTTTTTTTTAAAGCAGTGGAAGCAGGACTTCTAAAATCCTCTCCTGCTGTGTCTGCAGTTTGCAACTGGGATAACCTGAAAGTGAAACAGAGCAAAAGCCTGGCCGCAGTGTGGCGTGTGGCTTTTGTGCCTTCACTTACACGGGCGCTGTGGGAACGCAGATCACCATGAAAAACAGAGCACTGTTTCGGAGCCTCAGGACACCCCGGCTCCATCCCTGCCCCCGCACCTGCGGTGTCTCCAGTGGGGCCAGTGCCTGGAGAGGGGGACCCCTGGCCCCCCAGCCATGTGTCCCACAGCTGCCTTGCAAGCAGCGTGCTCTCCAGGCTTGTTTTTAACCGCTGGCTCGACCAGCACACGGCAGATCTGGCATACCCTGAGCGAAATGGCAACCAGCGAGGGATGATGCCACCTCTCCCGAGGCTCTGGCAGGATTGCAGCCGTCTGCACAGCACGTCGGCCGGCGCTGGGTAATGGCGTGGGCTGCGGACAGACCTCGCCTCATCCCACCTCAAACGTTCTCTTGTCTTAGAGCAGGGATTAAGGACTCGGTGCGGTTTTAATATAGTGAAGAGTTTTATTTGTCGTTTTTAATTTTTAGAGTGCATGCACTTGCTCTCAAATCGTTTTTGAAGGATAATCAGTATTTTGCAAAGGTCAGAGGCTCCCTCCTGACTCCTTCTCTGGCGCTGGCCCCAAGGCTTTGCTGCACGTGTGCAGCTCGGCCGCAGAGCCTCCTTGTGCTTAATGAAAAATTTGGTGCAATTTCAGGTGTGTTACTCAATGAAGTCATCCTTGGGCTTTGTTGGAGAGGAACTCTGAGCAGTGTTTTGGATGAGGGGTCAAGAATGACTGTTATCGTGGTTTCATGGCTTTTTTCCTTGTTTGATCCCTTTGGTGAGGACTGGTAGAAATTCTCATACTCGTTGATGAACTGCTCTCTCTCCCAACCTGTGCTGGTTTTGACTTGAAGCGCGGACGTGGGCTGGGGACATGGGGCTTGTGGAATCAGAGGATGGGGAGATGATTTTAGCACTGAGTGTGTTACAGCTCCCCTTCTTGAGATGGGAAGTAGTGACCGCAGGCCAGCTCCCATGGGAGGCTGTTTGCCTCTTCAGGGGGCGCAGTTTGGATTTCCTTCCTCCTCCTCCCCCTGAGAAATACAGGACAGGGGCTTGCATGTGTGTGTATATTTGTTTCATTTAGGGAATTTAAATAAACTGTTTGGAAAAAAACCCAAACAAATAGATACATGCAACTTGCAGAGTTTTCCTCATTTTCATGCTATTGTCTGCTTCCTGTATCTTAAATTCCATTGCTCCAGCCAGCTCATGGTTCTTGTGTTCCAGCTCCTTTCCTGGCAGAACTGAATGGAGCTGGTTGAGGCTTCTCTCCTGCTGCCCCTGCTTCAGCCAGCGTCGGCAGGAGGGAGGGCTAGAAGGGCCGAGCTAGGGGGACACGGTGGTGGTGGAAAGAGGAGCCCTGCTGCAGGGGGCTGTGGCGCTGGAGGCGGCGTGACGGCTCCCCAGCAGCATTAAAACCGCCGCTGCCACTGAATTGTGCGCCGAGGATGCAACCATGAGTGGCACGTCTGCAGGGAACCCGGCAACTGCTCTGCGTGTCGGTGGCACGCTGCTGCTTTTCATCTCAACCCGCTCCAGGTTGTTGCACTCACTTTTTGTCTCTTGTGAAGCCCTTTCTCCTTGTGCGCGGTGTCCCCGCTGTCCGAAGGGCTCTCGGGGCAGAGCGGGCTGCTGGTCCCTGCCAGGCTCCCCTGGCACGCTCCCCTGTCCCGGCTGCCTGCGGGGCGGCTGGCTCGCCCAGCGCGGCTGCGGGCCCGCATCATCCAAATCAAAGCTTTTTGCCTCTGCTCTTTGAACCGTTGGTGTGTTGAAAGAAAGAGGGAACATCTCATGAGCCACCTCTGCCTGGACTTGCAGAGTTATCCGGGTGTAGTGCCGAGGAAAATGCTGGCGTAAGCTGTTCAGCCGACGTAAGCGCGGGTGGTGGCTGAGGAGGACGGTATCGCCCTGGTGTCCTGCAGCGATAGCATCCCTTGGAGCGATGGACCCCTTTGAGCTGATTAATCATTCCCTGGGATGGCTTTCTTCTGCTTTAAACTTCCCATACTGGATTGCTCAATGACCGTGCTAATGTAGGCCTTTATTTCGTCGAGTTTCCAGTATAATTGTTGAAGGTTGAGTATTGGCACGTATTAAGAATGCATTGACGTGTGTGAAGCACGAGGAAGGCAAAACTACTTGGCGAATGGATGTCTGAAAGTGAGAGTTTCACTCCTGGAGGTTAAGTGGTGTGCGCTGCCGGATCCTTTCCGTAAGGGTGAAAACGGTGAATGCTCGGGTTCAGGAAACTTGAATCATCTGAACTGATGATGAAGCAGTTACTGAAATGCTTCTCATGTTCTGCAAAATAACAAATCCATGTCAGGAAATAAATAAACAAGTAAATGGCTTGACTTTCATCGCCAAGCACTTAAGCAGCCTGCTAATGATTTGAAAAGACAGGAACAGAAGGTATCTGAAAGAAAAATGGCAATAGCAAATCTATTTTCAAGTTTCATCTGCTTCACTAGAATTAAATCTGAAAAATGAAGACAAATACTTCTATGTAGTAATGGTAGTGCCTCAGGGCCTCAGTCACACAGAGGAACTTCGTGTTGCACGTTCTGCTCACTGCTGCTGTGGGCTGAAACGTTACGGCGTACGATCAGGCCAGAAGGTCTCTGTAGGAACCAGGTGGCCCAGGACAGACGAGCCCTTCCGAGGCATCCGGCCCTGCCTGTTGGGTTAAACCCAGCGGAGGTTGGTTGTAGTTAAAAATCTCTAGTCCTTGGTCATAGTGATCGTAAGGCAGCGTTTCAGAAACTGCAGAAAAATTTCTTTTCAGAAGCCTGTTAAATAATTCTTGTTTCACAGTAAAAAGTGGAGCTTTTATTTTCTTGTAAAGGCCAAATATCCTGGAAAAGATTTGAAATACATAAGATATTTCACTCCTGTATTTACTGTTTTAGAGGGAGCACGTGCCCCTACTGATATGCTGTAAACAGCTGGAGTTTTCACACAAGGTGTAGTTGCCCGTCTTCAGCAGCAGGGAAATGAAAAGCCGTGGCTATGGAAAGGAAAACCCTTGGAAAAGCATCTTAACCTGGGAAATTACTCTTCTGAGTGGTGTCACCCTTAAATACATCTTGCTCTTTTTCTTGCCATCTAGCACCTTTTTCTGCTGGTTAAAGAAAGTTATCTGGAGTTTTCTGGCTGAGATCTTTTCTGTTTCCCCTCAAAGTCCAATTAATACACAGTTTTACAGACCTGCTTTTCAGTTCACAATAATTTAACTTTTTAATACCTGATTGAAAGAATATATCTTCTATTTTTACGTGCCTGCTTTATTCTGAAAGGGTTCATGTTTTCCTACTAGCACGCTTCTCTGTGTGCTGTAGTTGCACAGTGTTTCTATGACTCTAAAAAAAAAAAAATCAGATTTAAGAAATTGCAGTAAACTATAAATTTTATAACTGAAGAAAATTACTTGGGAAACAAGACACAGTAAAAAGGAGAACAACGGACCTTGGTTGTTCTGCGTTTTGTATAAGAAATTGATGAAAGACGTTGCAAAACACTGAATTTGGGGTGGTCGCATTTTGAGACAATAGTGAAAGCATGCACAGCTCTCACGTCTCTCCTCTTTCTGCAGCTCTATGATGGTCGATGGAGTGATGATCCTTCCCGTGCTGATCATGATGGCGTTCCCCTCCCCGAGCTGGCAAGGTGAGTGCCGTGTGTGCGGGGCAGTAGCCGCCCGTTGCTGGAGGAGCCGGGTTCGAGTACTGGCTCAGCCGACGAGCCGACAGTGTGGGCAGATCCCTCTCAGGAGTGAGATGCTTGCTTTTCCATTTCAAGCTGCTTCAAAGGATGTTCGTTTGTGTATAAAATGTATAGTGTGTGTGATTGGCATAGGTCTTGCTAGGGCCTGGGAGGGAAACGTGAACCCCCATGTGAATGGCAAATTGCTGAGCTACCTAACGAGTAGGTCGTTTAGTCCATGGGCTGAGGTGCAGTTGTCGCATGCGTTCCTAAAAGCAAAGATTTTTCTCTGAGAAGGCTCTTTGGAGGATTTAGTATGATGGTAACTTTTCCATGGTTGTTCCAGTAAGGTCTTTAGATGTAGAAACTGACTTTTTTTACTCTTTGCTGGGTAAAAACACTGGCTGGCTGGCCAGGCCCAAAGGGTGGTGGTGAATGGAGTTAAACCCAGTTGGCAGCCGGACACAAGTGGTGTTCCCCAGGGCTCGGTACTGGGGCCAGTTCTGATTACTGTCGATGTCAATGATCTGGATGAGGGGACCGAGTGCACCCTCAGTAAGTTTGCAGGGAACATCGTTGGGTGGGCGTGTTGATCTGCTTGAGGGTAGGAAGGCTCTACAGAGGGATCTGGACAGGCTGGATCGATGGGCTGAGGCCAGTTGTGTGAGGTTCAGCAAAGCTCAGTGCTGGGTCCCACACTTGGGTCACAACAACCTCGTGCAACGCTACAGGCTTGGGGGTAAGCAGCTGGAAAGCTGCTGGGGAGGAAAAGACCTGGGGGTGTTGGTCAACAGCCGGCTGAACATGAACTGTAGCCCTGTTCTAGGGCTTAAATGTTCTCTTTGTTGAAAAGATACCAATAAGTGATCAGCAAGAGACGAGTTGCTGAACCTGTGCCAGGACATCTTCGTTCTTTCCCTGGCTACCGGCAGTACCCAGGCTGGAGGTGCAGGGTCATGCCTGGCAGGGGAGCAAGGGCAGAGCACAAAATAACAAAACAAAACAAAAAAGCGCAAAGCCTTTTGATTTATCCCCCCCATATTTTATCACAGATCAGTCACTTCCTTTTACTGTGATTTGGACTAGTTTGGGTTTTTTGCATTTTGGTGAGTGTATCTTCGGGTAGCAATCAGGGGCAGACTGACTGTTTCTGCATTGCCAGTGGCTTCAGAAGTTGAGATAAAACATGATTTTTATTTATTTTTTTTTTTAAAAAAGCAACCTCACAACCCAACCCAAAAAATCGAAGTGTGGAGTTCTCAGTGCAGAAACACACACATCTTTTCCCTACTTGCATGTCCAGAAAATCCTTTTGTTCTAGAGGTTTATTGCAGCTCCTCCTTCTGTGTTCCCTCTTTATTAGCCCCGTAAAGCGGGGAAGGAGGCTTTTCTTCACTTCCCAAGAAGCTGCACACTGACTAAAGCAGAGCACTTTCCAAACAACGTCATGCCCGTGCTTACGAGCGTGAGGCTTTTCCCGTACTGGCGACCATGCAGAAATGCCGTTTCCTGATCCCACTGGCACCGATGGCACACTGCCGGTGCTCCTGCCCTCTCTGGTGATGGGGGGCGGCTGCCACGGCGTCCCTCCCCAGCACGGCATCTCTCCTGGGCGTGGGAGCTGGGCAGGCTGGAGCGGGTCTGGTGTCCCAGTGTGACTGGGAGAGCGGCTGGGCTGGGGGCTGCCCTCTGTGGAGCTGTCAGTGCCCCCGGCACTCGTGCTTTTGCTGGCGTAGGGTTTTTTGTAGTATGAGAACAACAATAAAGCTAAACAGCTGTTTCTTAGTGCTGGAAAATTCAAGAGCTTTTGTTAAATTAATAAATCCTATATAAAATAAATTATTACAGGCTGCCTGGGCAATATTATTATTATAGACTGCCTGGAGATATTTAAAAGACGTGTAGATGTGGCACTAAGGGACACAGTTTAGTGGTGGACTTGGCAGCATTAAGTTTAAGGTTGGACTTGATGATATTAGGGGTCTTTTCCAACCTAAATGATCCTGTGATGGTTATTATGGCTGTTGTATAATTCTTGTTACTGTATACACTGAGAAAGAGAGAGAAGATAAAGCTCTGAATGGAGTAATCATGTCTACAGGCTTGTTTTCTGTTTCCCTGAAATGGCTAAGAATCATAAAGGGAAGCTAACCACCATAAAAGAGCTGTCTAACATACGCTTAAATGGACTCTAAAAGAGACTTTTATTTTTTCAAGTCTGCTTTCCTTCATCTTCAATGCATTATGATATGAAGCCCTAGCAGAGCCCACCTCTTCCCCTAGTCCTGGTCATTTAGAAAGAAAAAGAGTATTTCCGCTTTTAAATACTTTGGCCTTTGATTGTGAAGTCCCTCTCATCCTACTGGAGCTTTCAGCAGCTCTCTGAAATAAGCTTTGCCCGTGATTTGTAACCTTTCTGGTGTGATGTCAAGGTTTTCCGTTTGGACAGAGTGGTCCCGCTCCCAGCCCAGCAGCAAGCCTGCCCAGCGAGCAGTGACCGTACGGCTCCCAGTGCTCTCGGGGTGGGAAGCTGGATCCTGGTGGCTCCGAGGGCTGGGAACGGCTGCGCGTGCCCAAGGTCATCCGATGACTGCAGTGTCTGTGCATGTTCAGAATGCGGCACGGGGGCATGGATCTGCCTGCGGCACAGCTGGGCTGGCCGGGCAGAGGGACCTGATCAGGCCCGTTCCTGATCGGAGGTGTCGCTCTTCCTTGCTTCACCACGCTCTTCGGTGAAGAGGAATCAATTAGCTGGAGGTGTTCCTCCCAAACTTACACCATTAGAAAGTCACGTTGTGGCCAGCGAAGGACTAGGTTGTTCAAGGCTTCTTTACCTCTGTCCATCCTTAGCCACCGGCTTTTTTCTCCAGCCACATCCTGAGAGGTCTTGTGGTGTCCCTCGGAATGCTCGCTCGCATGCCCGTGCTAAACGTGTGTTTATTCTCTCTGTAGTAAGATGTACGAGCCTTTATCTGCAAGGTGACATCTAGTCCTGTGAGGAGCAGGGAGTTGGACTCGATCCTTGTGGATCCCTTCCAACTCGAGATAGTCTGCGAAGTTTGGAAAGGGAAAGTGTGGAAGGGGAGAGTGTGCAGTGGTGGTGCTTTGCTGGAAGGAAATGATCTGATATTGTTAAAGCCCTTCTTTAAAAGGTGCTTGTGATATCATTAGAGACTGTGTCTTTAGAAAGGACATTGAGACACTTGTGGTATGTTTTTACTTTTAATGCTTTTTAAAATTACTTCAATACTTGTTGACCATGTCACATAGTTAACTGGCATTTTTTCAAGTCAAGTGGAGTTGAAGAAGCTGCGGTGCTCTAGTGCCAATAAGAAAAGGTGGCCAGTGCCCATTGTACCAGCTGTTTCAATGGAAATTAATCGCTCTTCTGAATGGGAAGAAATCACCTCAAAACTAGGATGTGTAGTGTATTTCTCCTTGGAGAGAAGTTTGGTGTTTTCCCAGTTATCAACGTTTACAGTCCAGGAATTGGATACAGAACAGGAAATAAAACTGTCTGGATTGGTAGCTGGCGGTGTGACATAAACTTCACACGGAAGAAAATAACTTGTCCTTGTTTCCTGGTATCCGTGTGTTTCCATCACCAGCCTGTGTTCACAGCCCCGTGGTTTGGTGTCCGGTGGGTGCAGGCTGGCAGTGCCAGGGCTGTGCCCGAGCGCCACGTGCAGCAGTGTCCGTGCAGTCAGCAGGAGCGTCGCACGCCGCGCTCGCCAGTGTGCTGATTGAAACCGGGAGTGTCTTTGTTCTCCCTCTGTCGAAATACCTGAATGGTTAGAGTCAGCGCTCTTAATTGTTAACTTTCACAAAGTGAAGAAGCAAACAAAATAAAGGAGCTTCAATTTTGACACTTCCATAATAATGAACTAATAACTAGTTAATGAGAAGTTAACGCGAACCTCTGTATCGTTGTGTGGCAAGTCGGATTTTGTGTGTGTGTGTGTGTGCACAATATCTATGGGCCAGGAGCGCAGCGGCGAGTCTCTGTAATGCCAAACAAAAATAAATGCAGTGAACATGTTTAGGTAATGGAGGTATTTTTAAGCCTGTGCTGTCTGCTGCGGACGCAGCTGGCCTGACGGCCTTCCACGCCCGGAGCTGTCGTTGAGGGAGCACTTACTTATATCTGAGCGTGTGTTTGGGGCAGCTGATCCGCTTCAGCCACAGCCTCTTGATTGCAGCCGGCACGTGGCATTTGCTGGTCCCGCAGACTCGCCCGCGCAGCCGTGCTCCTGGGAGCTGTGGAGAAGTGTCACCCAGTCCAGCTCTGCCGCTGCTGCGGACTGGCCACGTGCCCACAGAACCGTGCTTGGCAAGCGCGGCTGGATTCGCTTTGGGGAGCACGGCTGGAGCATCCTGCCCTTCGCCGCTGACTTTGGGCGCGGGGAGAGCGTGTTGGGGGCGTTCAGCTCGTGCGTCTTTGCTGCAGAATCGCCGTCCGTGTGCTCCCGGGCTCCCGACCCGCAGCTCTGCCTGAGCTGTGGGATGCAGAGGCAGGACTGGGAGGGCACAGCCAGTGCTTTGGCCGGTGTCTGGGTAAGGTTTGCCCTGTGTCAGTGAGTGTGGCACTGCAGCAGCGTTAGTGAGGGAAGGGCTGGCCGGGACGTGGTAATACACCATGGAGCTGGAAAACCAGCTAAGTAAAGCAAGGAGCCGTTTGGGCATAAGGAATAGCAACAGTTCGGAAGGAGCATCTCCAGCCCGGGAGTTCTTCACCAGAAACGTTTCACTTTTACAGCAGCTATTGATCCACGGACACATCAGGATCTGCAGCAGTTCATGTGTCTGTAGGCAGTGTTGCCCTGTCTTGTGCTCTGTTAGCACGGATCCGCAGCCCGTGTCACGGATCACTCACCCCGGTAGCGCTCGGAGTTGCAACGCCTCGGTTCGTTGCTTGTACGGGGCATCAGGTTTGCTCTGCGTGGGCTGAGCAGCTGCCCGGTGCTGCACTGTCGCTTCCTGGACCGTTTTGGGATTGGGGAGCTCTCTGGGAGGTGGTTTCTGCCAGAACTGCTCCTCTGGACTGCGTGAGGTTTGCTCAGGCTCAAAGGGTCCTTGGGTCTCGGGAAGAGGGAAGCATTAGGCTGGATCAGGCTGCAAGCCAGGTGAGTTTTCCCTGTGGACTTGGTACGGCTCTCTGATAGCAGGTGAGTTGTCCTGCTCCATGTAGCAGCTATCTGTGCTTTACTCACCAGCTG